GGGAATGCATCGAGTTGAATCACCCCAGACAGTAATAGTCGCCTTCGACAAAAAAAGTAGACCACAGATAGATACAGGCGAATTCGGAATGCCTAGTTGCATCGTCTCAGACAGCATAGCGAGCGCCGATCACGTCTTGGCATAACTTGTGCATGATATATCGCATACACGCACACCGTTACGCACAGGTGGCCGAGGAGGCACCGATAGATTCATAGCGCTAGGCGGGATTCAGATCAAAGTTCACCAGGTTTCGGCAGCAGCAGTGACACTGGTGAAGAGTCTGGAAAGCACACGTTCGATGGGATCCATGTGACAGACATACGAACGAGAACGAGAATTGTAGCAGCATAGATAGATTTCGTTGGACAGATACTCGATAAAAGCAATAGAATACATCGACCCATTTTTGAAAAATGTCGACGACGACAAGAATAGACGCCCAACAGCGTGGTCGGCCCCTCACGAAGCATCGCGCAGCCACATAACCGATGAGGCTGAATTCACATGGGGAAGGGGGTCTGGCTTTGGACTCGACATTTTTTGGGGGAAGTGCACGGATCACTTCTACCTCCTTTTCAGTTCGAACGAGCAAGACCACACCATGTATGCTGAGGATGCGGTGTGGTGATAGACATAAAGGCTAACATTCACCCCGCCAGAACACAAACACTGGAGGACTCGTTTGCCTTCTCATGGTACCAGCAACACGTGGGCTCTGCATAGGTTCTGTACTGTTCCCACCCTTGGTTTCGATGCGGTCTGCAGAGCGCAGAAGGGGGAATACGCTACCACTTCGAACTACCCAACCACGGCCACTACGACCCGTTCGTCGTTTCTCTCAGATGTAGTATCCCTCTCCCCTCCTGTCCGAAGGCGGTTCATACGCTCTGACACCTGCGTCAAACTGAAGCAACTGTTACCATCAATCTACCCTGTCCTCGACGATCTCTCCCCCCTCAGCACCGCTTAACAACACCGTTCACTCCGCGTGGTCAAGCACTGACAACCTGCCTTCTACGTGCGGCACCGCAGGTTTTCTTTCGCTCTCATGATAAAGGCATAGGAAATATTCTAGTCTACTACTCTCCTCGAGAGGGATAGTTGGACTTTGGCCTCCTCGTGGAAAAAGAAGCCCAGATATTCTCAAGCCGAATGATCTGTGTCTCTGGGGACGTGCCAAAGCCGTAAGTCGCAGAAGAGGATTGTGGCATCCTGACCTCTGTTACGTGTCACAGCTCTGGCTCTTCCGAGCAGGGATGAGATGAGGCGCCCCGGGCGTGTCTAGGAAGGCGGGCTGGGCCTCTTTGGGACGTTGTGCGACAGTTCACGAGTGCTGACGACGGACACTTCCCATTGGCCGAACAGAGTCAAAACTTGGGAATAGAGCGTAGATAAGAAGTCGTTGTGCGTTACAGAATACAATCAGGTTTTGGAAATGTACAATGCTACAAAAAAACATTCTCGCTTTTGACCCAACCAAACGACAGCACGATGGCGCAGGACCGCTCACTGAGCAATACCGAAGTCGCCTGACTTGCGGTCCAGATGCCCGTTAGACTGCTCCGTTGCTGGTAGGTCAGCATACGAGGGCAGTTCGTGCTCGTGCGAATCTTCTGCTGCTTCCTCTTCAGGAATCAACGGGGATGGCACTCGCTCGGAGGACTGGCCGTCCGGATAATTCGATTGGGAGCCAGTGGACAGGCGAGAGCTCGATTGATCGCTCAGATGCCGTGATGGGACAGGGGCGATAAATCGTCTTGGCGGGCGGGGAGGTGCAGGGCTGCCCTTGATGGTAGGGGGAGTGCCAGGAGTGGTGGTAGGTGGGGTTTGGGGGGCGGAAGATGAAGGGGTCTCTTCGTGGACCATAAACTCGTCGTGACTTTGTCGACGGACGTTGATGTGCGGATCTTCGATGCCGAATTCACGCATACGTTCCTCCATTTCTGCCCGTGCAACTTGGTCGTCTTCGTCTTCTGGTTCGCGTTCCAGCCGGCGAGGGGGGGAGTATTCGATCTCACTGGCCGAAGGGCCTGTTGGAATTTGGTCGATCGCAGTCTGGTGGCCTATAACGGGAGTGAGACGAAGCTAGAAGAACCTATTCCGTGAAACTCACCTGAAGCCGCGAGAATGGTCTGATGAAGCGGGGCGCACCATGCAGGAGCATATACGTCTCCGGCCAAGATGTCCCTCGCCTTCACCCCAGGTTTGTGGTAGCTTCTCGCGTTCTCATCGGTCCGCTCAATCATGATGTTTCCATCAACCTGCAGACCACCATCTGTTTGTCACAAGTTTGAGAAAATGCGTCTCGTCCACGAGTGGAAATCACTTGCATAGACCTTTCGACTTCGTGTAGCTCCATACCGGGGACAACTCCTTCCCCGCTTCAAGCATAACGCCGTTCCCTACTGGTCCGGCAGAGACGGCCATCTCTCCTCCAAGTGTCACACGGGGACTGGTGAACGAGTTGAGCGCGGCAGGAGTTCGCAGAATCAGAACGACGTCGTAAACCTATGCATTCCTCGTCAGTCATGTTCACAACCGTATATGGCAATACGTACGTCCGCTCCAGCAAGGAAACCCCATCCCAGAGTGTGTAGCAGGATGCCGGAGGGTGCAGACCACGCTACATCTATGTCAGCATCATTCAATTGAGGAATAGAATGCGCATACATCCGTCTGGTAACTTCGCAATAACGACGCCAGATCCACCGGCACCTGAAATGACGAAACCTGTCCGGAACACAGTGAAGATCGCTAGGCCAGCACATCGATCGATAGCCTGCAACTGTATCAGCATCTCCTATTGCAAACAAGCATGCATGATCACATACAGAAGGGGGGATCTTTCGTATAACCTTTTGCGTCTTCTTACGGTCTTCGAACTTCTCCTCTACATCTGATGCGTCAAGGGTGAAAGTACGAAGAATGCGGGCGGCCTTGATCACTTCGGTTTCGAGTTGTGTTGGGTCTAATTCCTGATTAAGATGCGCATATAGTTGACTTTGAGTGAGGTGGCTCACAAAACGCTTCCATGCCCATCTAGGCGGCGTAAGAACAATGAACAGTGATGGAGGGGTACTTGGTAGAAACACACCTTTGCGACCTGCTTGTTAGTCCAGAAGCCAACATGATCGGCAACCTTGTAGAGGCCGTTCCAAGTTGCCTTGCCTGCGGATTTGGTAGTCTCCCACATTGTGCGACAACAGCAAGTGATTGTCTATCGATACAAGAGCAGAGATGATGATAAGCAAAGGGAATGAGGCGGGCGCGACGCTTAGTCTGGTGCTATATAGCAGGTGGGCTTGTTAGGTTGTAGGGAATCCCGGAGATGGGTTCAGCAGGCTGCGCGTAAGCAAGCCATTAGGCAATGCCCATGACAGCACCGACCTGAACTGTGCGTCCATGCTTCTCGAAGATCGCTCGCACCGCCTCCCGGATGCAATTGCAAAGAATATTTTAGGCATGCATTGCGCTGTATCCTGCCTTTTTTCTCTTCATAACGCTTATAACACGCCCGTCTTAAAAGCAGCCTCTTCTTGGTAGGTCTCCACACTTCTATCTGCTTTCTACGAAGGCGATGGGGGATGTGCGTGGGCCGAGGACGTAGTGGCCCGTATGTCGGTGCGAAGAGCGTCTTGATAGGACTTGGGTGCGGTGCGTTCCTCCATTCTCGACTCTCTGGGTTGGGAAGGCATGACCCTGCGTGGTCGTGCCTGTGGAACGGGTCGCAATGTCCGGTCGTACATTTCAGAGAGTTTACAATGAAATCTATGTTTGAGTTCATACACCACAGGATTTGTCTCCTATGACATGTTAGCATTTTCCCGATAGAGACAAAAGCCAAATGATGTTAGTAATTCTTCATACGGTTATAACTACAGCCTCAGTTGGCCTAGTCCTTTCGTGGCTTTGGGTCCGCTTCAGGGCCGGTCTCGTGACGCGTGGGCGGAAGGGTCTGTGAGAAGGGGGGAAATGCCCTGTTCATTTTTACCCTCGTCTCACCCGTTTTTCAACCCCTCGCGACGACCTCCTCGTCTCCGTCGGTGTCGGCGTCGACTTTGGTATATCAACACCGTCATCTTAGACGGCCAGCTCAATTCTCCCTTCCTATCAGTTATTTCGACGGGGCAGAAATAAAGCTAGGCCACAATGTCGGTGGCTAGCAAGAATCCTTTTGCCCTCTTGGATGGTGCGCATCCACCATCGAAATCAGATTCATCCTCACATTGTTGAAATACCCTTTCTATTCAATCAGATGATGAAACGGTCGAGCAAACATCTGTCGCAGTTGCTGTTCCAGCTTCCGCCGTGAAGCCAAATGAACAGCCTAAGGTCCAGGAAAACCGGTCGAGGCAGACGAACGGTCGTGCACCCCGTACGCCCAGACCCGAGAGGACCGCTGATGGATTTGAGGTGAAGGAGGGCAGGGGCGAGCGGAGAGGTCAGTAACTTGGCAGTAACCAATTTGACTGTTGTTGTACTCATCTACCCTGAACTAGGCCGTGGTGAAGGACGCGGTGAAGGGCGCGGTCGCTCTCGTGGTGGCCGTGGCCGCGGTCGCGGTGGCTTCCAAAATATGGATAGGCACTCCAATACGGGAATCACGTATGTCTCACTTATAATAACCTCTTGAATCCAGTTGACAGGCTTGTCAGCGATTCCCACAAGCAAGTCCACCAAGGCTGGGGTGGTGATACCGGTGCTGCCGAGCATGCTGCTGAGACTGAGGGCGCAGCGGATGCCATCAAAGAGGAGGCTGCTCCTGAAGCCGCTGTGAACGGCCAGGAGGCTCCTGTAACCCCAGCTGGTGAGGCTAAGCCCACCGAGGAGGCGGAAGGAAAGCCCCGCGTCGAGGAAGAAGAGGACAATACCGTCTCCTACGATGAATACCTCAAGAAGCAAAAGGGCACCCCTGGCGTTCTCGACAACCTCATCCCCAAGTTAGAAGTTCGCCAGGTTGGAGAAGGCGAGGGCTACGAGGATGGTGTCCTTAGCCGCGGCGGTGCCGAAGTACTCAAGAAGGAGGACCAGGCATTCTTCGCCGGAAAGGTTTGTGCCTCACATTTCAATCCTCTAAGAAGGTATTCTGACCGACCTGGCAGACTAAGAAGGACCCCGTGTCCAAGCCGAAGAAAGAGAAGCCCGTCATGATTGAGATCGACGCTCGCTTCGCACCAGTCGAGCGCGGTGGTCGCGGTCGCGGTCGCGGCGGTGAGCGGGGCGGCCCCCGTGGTCGGGGTGAAGGCCGTGGACGTGGCGGTGCCGGCGCTCCCCGTGGCCGTGGTGTTTCTCGCGGTGGTGCTGGCCGGGGTGTCGATGTCGATGACGCGGCTGCGTTCCCCTCGCTGACCGCATGACAAGCACCCACTCCAAGAAATGCCTACCTGCTTCATCCGATCGAGTAGAAGCATCGAGCGACTGTACCGCAAAAGGGGACTCGATATCTAATGACTGATTCTGACTATCGCCGATGTTCCCCCGTTTCTGTTTTTTCCCCTGCTTGTTTTCTCACTCGAGTTTCAACTTTTGCACACAATATGCATGGTACCAGTGTTCCATTCGTACGTTTTGGGTTGTCTCCCGTGTTATGAAAGTAAATCCGATCTCGTGTGCACTGCTTTATCATTGAATCCCGCGTGTGATGTCTACTCCGATACAAATAATGTGTGGTTATCGGCTACAAGATATGGTCGCGGTTGTTCTAGAGCGTCGACTTGTTCAGCGGATCATTGACGCCATTCTTCGGCTTGCCATTCGCTACCCAGTCTCTGAAGTTACTGATCCCCTCCAGCTCCGTGTCCACACGCAGCCTAACGGTCGCCGACCCATGATGAGGGAAGAGTGCCGCCCTCTCGCACTCCAACAGATACGGCTGGATCTTCGGTTCCTCCTCGAAGACGTCGAGTCCTACACGGGAGAGCTTCTCCGATCGCAGGGCGTCGCAGAGCGCTTTCTCGTCGATCACCGACCCTCGAGACGTGTTCACGATCATTGCTCCATCTTGCATCTTGGCGAACTCAGGTGCACCCAGCAAGTGCCGGGTTGCGGGGTTCAGCGGACAATGCACGGTGATGAGGTTTGACTGCGAGAGAAGGTCGTCGAATGAGACGTAGGTTGCACCGCCTTCCTCTGCAAACGTATGAGCATTGACTCCAACCACAAAGAAGGTGGGCTCACCTGCCGCAGGAAGAGGTGCACGGTTGTTGTATATGACCTTCATCCCTAAAGCCTGAACCTTGTTCCTGACAAGCTATGACACATCAGCTCCCCGCCAAAAATGAAGATTCGATCAGGTAACTCACCTTACCGATCGAACCCATGCCAAGGATGCCGACTACGAAACCTCGCGCATCGGGGGTGAGCACATTGTTCCCTTTCCATTTACCAGCTTTGGTAGATGCCATAAGCGAGGTCGCATGTCGGAGGCCTGAATATGTATTGGCAACTTCCACGGCGATTAGCGAGGAGACGTACATATGAGGATAAGCGTTACTGCCGTTGTTGCGGTGGTGCTGTCATTCCGGTCAGGGTGAACCAGGAGCCACCGGGACGCACTCACTCCGACACCGACTCTGGGGTATTGCAGTACCACGCGCCTACACTCTCGAGCCACTTAGTATCGACCGTATCATACCCCGCGCCAATGCCGGTGACGAACTTGAGTTGACCCTTGAGAGGGCCTAGGAGCTCCTCGTTCACGGGTCCCTTCTGAGCACCGAAAGGGAACATGACTGCATCATATCCGCCCTCTTCAGCAGCTGATTTCACAGCGGCAATGAACTCTTCGCGAGTGTTGGCATCAACCATCTAGACGCCAGCAGTCATGGTAAGCAGGCCCGATATATTGCCTAGCAAAGAGCCCGGCTGACCTTGAGCTTGAACTCCTTCGCCAACTGATCATACTCCTTCTGGGTCTCCTTCGGCACTCCCAGCACGAGAATGCCATGTTCCTGCTGCGCTGAAGGGGACATTGTGCAGTTGTGAGAGGGGGATGACGAGGAGAAAGAAGATACGAGTCTTCGGGTCATCGCCCCGAGTCCCGGTGTAGAGAGGTGGCATGGCCGACGATTAGCAAGGTGAATAAGAGTGGCTGTGTGAGATGGAGGTGGACGAAACGGGACATGATTAAACCGGTAATTCAACAGAGTGCGTGGGAAGCGTGACATCGTCGAATGTATCAACGCAAATCGTGCAAAATATTTGCCATGGAATGGTAGGAAATGAGGTATAAGTCAAATCGCGACAAAGATCACATCCATCTGGCCAGGTTGCATACCTGTGTGTGTGGTGAGAATGGAAGGCAGCCAGCGTGCGGCTTATCGGCACTCAGGCACCGAGAACCCTGAGCTTTCTTCCTGTCCACCAACTCATTATTAGCAGTTTCTTCGACAGGGCCAATGAATGGTTACACGACCGCTTACCACCGTATCACAAGACAAAAGTCAATGCGTTGCACCACCGGTCCCTGAGATGATTCAACTCCAACTTACCTAAGCTGAACCGTCGGCCAAGCCCCACGAGCCAGCATGGGTATATATTGAGGCGGCGGTGAAAGTTGGCCAAGGCAACGATAGCGACTCCCTGGGGGATATCAAGGCTGTTTGAAAAGTCCTTCAGTGACCTCTGCAACCACAGCTTCGTCGACCTTCTGGACTGTCTAATTTCCGCTGATCATGGGCGAGCTTTCTCGTCGCTTGGCCAAAACGGCTCTTTTCACCCCCCTCAAGGTGGGCAACATCCAACTCCAGCACCGGGTCGCCCTCGCCCCTTTGACGCGCAACCGCGCACATCCGGATGGGACGCCGAGCGAGATAGCGATCACGTACTACAGTCAGCGGGCGAGTTTTCCTGGGACGCTCCTGATCACCGAAGGAACATTTATTGCCCCGGAGGCTGGCGGGTTGGCTTGCGCCCCGGGAATCTATACGGAGAAGCAGATCGCTGCCTGGAAGAAGGTATACTCCCTCAATTTTTTGGCCGTTGCAAATCTCTCACCAGTGGGGTAGATCACTGACGCGGTTCACTCGCGCGGCTCCTTCATCTTCTGCCAGTTGTGGGCACTCGGCCGTGCCGCCAGCGGTTCACTCCTGAAGCCCCATGGTTTTGATGTGATCGGCCCCTCGGCAATCCCCATCAAGTCCCCTAGGGCTGACCAGCCTCGCGCGCTTAGGACCGAGGAGATTCCCCACTGGACTGGGTTATATGCACAGGCCGCCAAGAACGCGATGGCAGCCGGGTTTGACGGGGTCGAGATCCACGGAGCGAACGGTTCGTTGTTGGACTTTGACGATGTGAGGGGTGCTGACGGAGGTGGTTGCCATAGGCTACCTTGTAGACCAGTTCATTCAGGACGTCTCGAACGATCGCACGGATGAGTACGGAGGATCCATTGAAAACCGAGCAAGGTTTGCGTTAGAGGTCATCGATGCGATAACGAGCGCCGTAGGGCAAGAGCGCACTGGCATCCGCGTCAGCCCCTGGAGTCCGTTTCAAGGTGAGCCATCATAGTCTGTTCCTCGATGCGCTCGGTTGACGAGAGATAGATATGCGCATGGCCGACCCTAAACCTACGTTCTCCTACCTGGCACAGGAAATCAATTCCCGTTATCCCAACTTCGCCTATCTCCACGTCACAGAGCCTCGTGTGATTGGCAGTGACGATTGCAAGGTGCCGCCAGAAGAAAACAACAATTTCTTACGCCAGATTTGGAGACCGAAGGTGTTTCTAGATGCTGGAGGGTTTAAGGAGGACGTTGCAGACGTGGTCCCTACCATGGGGGACGTCATCGTTTATGGGCGATATTTCCTCTCCAATGTAAGTCTTTCTCACAGGCGACGTACGCATTGCTGATATGGCTTTAGCCGGACCTTCCGCTCCGTCTGAAAGAGGGAATCCCTTTGTCAAAATATGATCGTCGGACGTTCTATCTGGTTGGTCCGGACAAGACGGAAGGGTACATTGACTACCCTACGGCAGAGGAGCTAGGGGCGTCGAAGATACCACGTTGCGATCTGCCGAGGAAATGCTAAGTGCTGCGCAATGTGGAAGAAACAGACGCATGGACATTAAATGAATATCAACACCTTTGGAAGTACATGCGGACGAGTCTCATATAGTCACGGACTCCCCACAATTGTGCCCATGCATTTACCGTGCGCCTCACGCCGGTTGGTCGATTAATGTTACCGGATATAACACTAGACGGTTAATAACATCAGCGTGGGGACGATTATTTGTAAGACCAGAGGGCCGGACAAAAAGTGGGATGATACGCGGTCCGTTGCGCTATCTCCGATTATCGTTTCTCTATCCACGCGTCCTGGAAACATGGAGCGTGTCTCGCGGAGTATTAGTGACCAGCTTATGCAATGTGGATTGGTAATTATCTTTCTGGCTTTTGATGGATTCTCCTGAGGAACCGTACGGAGTATGGCAATCACCGAAAACAACAATGTGACGAAAATAACATAAAAGGACATCCACTATGTCGGGTGGGTGCGATACACTCAATCACCCTTCAGATCTAATAACCATTCCCTACTAGTTATACTTTCGACTTTCGATGCTGCATAATGGGAGAAGCTGTTAACTCCAGTTCCATTGCAGACAGCGTGCTATTCACGCCTATCCAGCTGGGCCCCGTCACCCTCTCGCACCGGATTGCGATGGGCCCACTGACACGTCACCGGAATTACGCGGATCATACACCAAGTGAAATCGCGTTGACGATGTATACCCAGAGGGCGAGCTACCCGGGGACGTTGATCGTCACCGAGGGTAATTTTTTTGCGAAGCAATCTGGAGGATATCGGCACGTGCCTGGCATCTACAACGAGACACAGATTGAGGCTTGGAAGAAAGTGCGCCTCTTTCTTATCACTGAGCACCCACTTCCTGACCACCAAGGTAGATCACGGATGCAGTCCGTTCTAAGGGATGCTATATGGCTCTCCAGCTATGGTGCCTGGGACGCGCCGCTCTGGAAGAGGTGGCTAAAGACGAAGGCTTCGAGATATTCTCTCCTGGCGACATCCCCCTCCCGGGCCAGAGCAAGCCGCATATGCTCACGATTCCGGAGATCAAGGCATGGATCGAGATCTATACCCAGGCTGCCAAGAATGCTGTTGCCGCTGGATTTGATTTCGTGGAAGTCCATGCTGCGAACGGTACGTCCTACGGGATCCAGGAAGAGATGTTCTGACAATTTGCTGTGCTGAAGGCTATTTCATCGATCAGTTCCTCCACGAAGTATCAAATAACCGAACGGACGAGTACGGCGGGTCGATTGAAAATCGATGCCGGCTTGCCCTGGAGGCTGCCCAGGCTGTGGTGGACATCGTTGGCCAGGAACGTACCGGTCTCCGCATCAGCCCATGGGGAGAGTTCCTCGATCCGTTTTGCTCGCTCTATTATGACGATAGTCAGATCTCTGATTAATAGTGGACAGGAATGAGAATGGACGATCCTATCCCTACGTTCTCCTACCTCGTTCGCCAGTTCAAGGAGCGTTTCCCCAACTTTGCGTATCTGCACGTCACGGAACCGCGTGTCGAAGGTGACGTTGACCGCCAGGACCGGCCCAAGGAGAGTAACGATTTCCTGCGAGAGATCTGGCGTCCGAACGTGTATCTCACCGCTGGGGGCTATACGGAGGACGTCAGGGATGTGATACCGAGGATGGGAGACGTTCTCGTGTACGGCCGTTATTTCATCTCTAACGTTCGTTGAACAATTTTTCTTCGAGATGGAACGCTGATGTGCGGGTTTTTCTAGCCTGATCTCCCCCACCGCCTTAAGAAGGGTATTCCGTTTACTAAATACAATCGGGCTACGTTCTACCTGCACGGTCCTGATAAGACCGAGGGGTACACTGATTATCCCACGGCGGAGGAGCAAGCGCATCTAGTCGCAAAGCAATAGGCACCGAGTGGGTGTATCCCTGTATTTAGAATGTTTACGTAAATGAATTTCCAGAATGATCGAAGAAAAGTATCTAATAATTAATAGCGACCCCCCCCGGTGGCGGTGTAGACAAGCGCACGTGGCATTTGGGGGGTGCTAGACGGGGATGTCGGACCCTGACAGAAATTAGTACATTTCGTATTAGAGTAGTAATACAACTATTAATAAAAATTACCTTAACTACAAAAAAGTGTATAAAGTGTACAAAAGTGTACACCGGATTGTAAGAGCTCGGGTAAGACCCTCAAAAATGCGACGCGGATTTCGGACCCTAGCTCACATTTGTACACTTTCTAATGGTAGGTTAATAAATTTATTAATAATTTTCTGACTACACAAAAGTGTACAAAAAATGTACAAAAAATTGAAACGAAAATTGTGACGCACTCCGGAGGCGCGCGAATAGAATCGCGAAAACATCACGCCCATAGGGTGATTGGATAGGGGGGGTCACTCCCAGGGTCTGTTTCCTACTATGTGGGGAAGAAGGAAGCAAAGCAATAATTGATAGTATCCGGACCCATACAACACAAATAATTAATTATTCACGTTGTTACTGCTGCCACTGTGGAAAAATAAAGTGTGTAATTGTTGAATGTTGGTTGACCCTCGGAAATTAATTGGTATTTTATTTGACTATAGAACACAAGACACACTTATTGATCAAAACAAACAAAAATGTGAACTGTTACACAAAGTGTATTATCATGTAAGTGAATCAGGATTTGAAGGGGATTGCAGGGTATGCTTAAAGGGACCTTAATTGGTGTAGGTCCGAGCCTACAACACCCCACTCTTCACAGAGAAGTGAAGACTGTGCAAGATGTGAAGAAAACTTGACATCACCAAGTGAATGCCATGCCTGCTTGCCCTATGATTGCACCCCCATTCTACAGTGAGTATTTAGCCATCAGAGTGCTAACTTGGAGCACCAGAGACCAGACCCATTACTTCAAAGGCCATTTGGACCTGCTGCCACAAATCTTGCTACTGTCAATGCAGTCCCTATATCATCACTCATTCCTCCTATGCAAATGTTATCTCATCAGCAACATCTTGCTGAAAGGGCTTCTCAGCAGCATCAAAATTGGTCTGCCTCACAGCAAGCCCACAGGGATCATGATTTTGGAATGCCTTTTGGACATCTAGACTTTGTGGAACTGCAGCTGGAAGAGCTCCAGCTACCACATCAAGAAGGAAATGATCTGGGACTTAGAGGGCAAAATAAGCAAGGGCAGAATGAAGTAATTGAGGAAGAACAAAGGCAGCAAAGAGAACTGGAGGCACAAAATGCAATACAAGCATCACAAGTCCCCCATGCATGGCAACCACATGAAGTGCAGCAGTATGCAGAAAAGGCTGCTTGCAATCACCACAAAGCAATTTACCTAGGCAGGATGGATAGGCCCTGTGCCTTCTGTCTTGCTTTACACTTCATTAAAGAATGTGCAGGACACTCAACCATTGCAGAGCCGATATTCACAAAATGCTGTCTACATGGTCAAATACAGCTCCCTGATTTCTTGCCAGTGCCACCAGAGCTAGCAAGACTGATGGCCTGTTAGG